ACACTCGGAGAGTACCCGAAGTCCATCCTCGAAAGGGCTTCCTGCGGCATCGTCTTTGGGCAAGATGCGAGCATAACGGGCCAGAGGACGCGAAGAGGAGGGATTGGTTGGGTTCCGGCCCCTTGGAGGACGGCGACGACGACGATGGAAAAGAGGACGCGTAGGGGGGCGGTCCGGAGGGAGAGGGTGTCGCCTGTGCTTACACGTGCAGCGCGAAAGAGGGTGCGCGAACGGGGCTCTTTTTCCGGCAAGGGTAAGGAAAGCGGAGAGGGGGCAGGCCGAGACCGCGTCGAAGACGAAGTTCTGGTGGTGCCACGTAACGATGACGGATTGTTGATGGCCTCCTCCTTCGTTCAGCATGTGTGCACCGTCTCGCTCGTACATGCAGGCGCTCGACTTTTTCGGTCGTGCACTTCGGTTGGGTGCGTGATGCAACTGCGCTCGTGGTTGCTTGTGGACGTCGATGTTGTTTTGCTGCCAATGGTGGAGAAGCGATGGTGGTCGGGGTTCTTTTCGGTAGATTGTAGGTGTTGTGTACCTTTGTTCGATGTTCTGTTGTGTTGTTGTCGGCGCAGCTTGTGGCGAGACAAGTTGATTGCGCTAGGTGCACACCTTTTTTTTGTTTATATTATTTCAATACAGAATGATATTTCTTCGTTTTCGCATTGTTTCAATTCAAATGGAGAGTTCGTCAGTTTTAAGATCAACAAGTTGTGTGTTTCTTGGATGCACATTCAGACGTCTCTTCTCCGTTTGCATGTGCCATCGTCGCTCATTGCTTTGTTTGTTTTGTATTTCTTATTTTCCTCCCCCTCTTACTCCGCTTGACGAACAAAACATGTGTTCGTGTCCTAGTCCACTACTCGCATGAAGACGAAGCGCAGCGCATCAAACTATATGAAATGTCCCAGAAAACATGGTGTGAATATGCAATGGTAAACATCATGAACACAAAGAAATAGCAACACACAATATAGACACAATGAGATACACACACACACATACACACCGCCAACACGCAATGGAAATGGACGATACATACTTAGAAACGGATTTGCGATGTCGTTAAACAATTCATAGTTAAGAGTTCAAAATCGAAGGGAGGTGGGGTAGAAGTTTCACGCCCACCCGAATGGCGAACACTACTCTATCCTTCGTGGCGAAAAATTGCCGCACTTCACACCCGCAGTGCGCTGAGTCCTCACTGCACAACTCCAACGGCAACAACTGTAATCAAAAGAAAAAAAATTAAAAGGACGGTGACGCACGTCCGCGAATCGCGACGACAAACCAAGACGATCCTYGACGCAAAYAAYGAACCCGACGCAGGACAAAAGCTAGCAACCCAATCAAGGCTGGATGAAACGACTGATCTTCCCTCCGGCCACTGCAGTGAACGCGCCCTTACGCGCGACCGTCCAGCAAGGGGAACACGACCCTCCACGCAAAMCACCAACCCCGACGGGGTACATACGATAGCGACCCAATTAAGGCAGGACGAAATCTACCCTCCGCCYAYTGCTGCAATGAATGCACTTCCACGCGCTGCCGTCCACAAATGAAACACGACTCACTCGTGTTTCAATCTTTCCRCCAAAGCAKCCCTCAGCGCCAAYGCTTCGTCTGTCGACGTCAACATCGGAACAGGCTGGAGGGGTTGTTCGATCGCCAGACCCACACGTCGTCGCACACCATTGGCGCCGACCTCCCACAACAGATTSTCGTCGAAGGGGATTCCTGYGTCGATCAGCATGTTGTGCAGTATGCATACGGTCRTGAGCTGATGCGGGAGCGTGTCCAAATTTGTCTTGTGTGTCCGCAGAAACAGCCGCCACATGCCCTTCAGCCTGCCGAACGCCCTCTCCACCGCTCCCCTCGCCACCTTCTGTTTGTTGTCGAACCGCTCCTCGTCGACGTGCTGATTGATGACTCCATACGGGACGACCATCGATTCGGAAGGGGGGTATCCATTGTCCACCAGAACGTACCCGTYCGTCTTCACATCGAACGGCAGTGTCACGGGGGGACCACGGAACAACGACCCCTCCTYTGYGCGCAGCGACAGGCTGGACAACTGCAGCACTCTGATGTTGTGGCAGCTACCGGGGTATTCCTGTGCACGTCGAGCACATGCAAGTCCAGGTCGAMGACAACCTGCRCGACGATGGAGAAACGACGCTTCCTGTCGTAGTAGTTTTTGCTAGGAGCGTTCGCCAGCTTGTCAACGTACACGTGAGTGCAATCAATGCAACCGWGGCAATTGGGGAACCCTTTATCAGCAAACGCCCACAGAATGACGAGTTGRCGAAGTCCCGTTGGCCACGCGATCTTCTCTCCGAACACTCTTAGCAGYGCGGCAGTAACGTCGCGGACGACAATCAACCCAAAAGCTCGGCCAATCCCGAAGTTGCACGTGCTGCTCTCGTACGTCTCTCTTGAAGCCCACCTGTACAGC